TAAAAAATAAAAAAATAAATAAAAAAGAAAAAAGAAAAGTAAATGAAGTGGTGGGCACAGAGTTTCTGTTTCAGTTTTGGAGGATGAAATAGGTCAGGTGATGAATATGGTGGTGATGGTTGCACCACATGAGCATACTTAATGCCACTGAACTGGACAGTTAAAAACAGCTAAAATGGGATATTTATGTTCTGTATCTTTTCTTTTTTTTTTTTTTTAATTTTACCACGATTTTTTAAAGAAAACAAATGGAATGTTGGGAATGACTCAGATGTCACCGGGCTTCCGGGCTGTCCTCTCTTCACTTTAGCCCTCAGATCCTGTCCATGCCACAGGCTTCCCCTGGGCACATCCCCAGCCCTCTGGGAATGTGAACCCTTCTAGGAAGCAGACCAGGAGAACAGAGGAATGAAATGCAGGCACTCTCCTGAGCCTGGAGTTCAAATTCAAGCTCGCCCTCCCCGAGCTGCCTCAGTGGCCTTACCTGTGGAATGGGGACTCTGGCCTTCCCTCCCCTACTTTTTGGGCATCAGCACCCTTGGCTCTGGCCACACTGGACCCGCCATTGCTCATGCCGTCACCCTCTGACCTGAGTGCATGCTGTCCTCCGCCAGGCTGACCTTTCCTGCTTTTTCCTCCTGAAAAACTGTTACTCATCTTCCCAGGCCAAGGCCAATGGCCTCTTCACTGGGAAGTCTCCCCAGCATATCTGATTGGTCACTGTCTCTTCAGTACCTAATGGGGGTGGGAAGCTGGCCTGTTTGTACGTGTTGGCTGCACCATGACCCTGAGGGGCCCAGCTCCTCTTCTACTGTGCCATTGAGCTCTGTGGACTGACACGTAATTAAGCCTGGGAAAGTATGGACAATCCCTCTCCACAGTTCCCACTTGCACCTGCACCCTCTGTGGGCCTATTTCCTCATTTGCATAAGTGGAGACCACCACACACCCACCCTGCCCTTTGGGCTTATTCACTAACATGGCATGAGTGAAAGCATATGAGTCATAGGCTCATAGTGGCTGTTAGGTATGTGGTCTCTTTATTATTTTAGATTTGATGGCCTCTGGTGGGGAGACCCTCCAGGATCACAGCAGCCATCCTCCTGCCTTCATCACCTCCCACAGCTGGCTTCTCCACCCCACTAACGTTTGTCTATCAGAGGCAGCCCTCTTCCCCGCCGCAGAGCCCACTTTATCCTCACCTGGCCATACAGGTTGTCCTCGGGGCCGGGCTGTGCCTTGTGGTGCATGGTGTTCATGCAGACATTCAGCAGGCCCATCCTGGCCCACATACTCCTGGGCTGGGCGCTCCCCGCAGCGGTCACCAAAGCCAGAAGCAGCAGTTGGGTCACCTGCCAGGCCATGCCCATCCATGCCCATCTGTTCCTCTCAGAGACCCACAGTCAGAGGTGGACAAGGCCTGAGGGAAGGGCAGCAGCCACAAGATTGTGTACTGTCCCCCTCCCAGGCCCAGATCTCTGCCCTCCCCACCCTGCATCCCCCACAGGGCAGCTGAGCCAAGAAAGGAGAGGTATGTAGAGGTGAGAAGGAGCCCTTCCCCGGCTTGGAGGCAGTACCCACCTGTTTCCCACCCAACAGAGCTCTAGGTTCAGGCTCTGCCACCAGCTTTCTCTGTGACTTGTAGGAAGCCGCCACCCCTATGGACTTCCCCTCTTTTATTTCTTCAGTATTTTATGCAATTCCTCTCAAATTTGCACAAGGTGAAACCACAGGTCATGGCCTGCTGATGCAGGGGTGGGACTCTAGACAGCCTCAGACTTGTGCTTGCTCAGCCCATCCTCCTATCCTGGGGCAGCTGAGGTTTAGATGCCCAGGGAATCTGAGCTGGGGCCAGCAAAGGCCATGGAGCCGTCAGCTATCGTTCATGGTCCCAGAGCAGATGCTGTGGGAGGCAAGGGGATGGGCATCTCAGGAAATTACCCAGGGAAAGTCAGGCTCAGAGCTAGGGGGAGGCCAACAGGTCAGTGGCAAATGGAGGAGGGGGCTGAGTAAGAACAGCGGGCGGTTGGGCCATGGAGGCAAAGACATCAGAGAACCCAGCCTGTCAGGCAATGGGGAGGCACTATCTTGCCTCCCACCTCTCATCCCCACCTTCCCTTCTGTCCTGTGGCAAGGCCTTATCTCCATCCTCAGCCCACCTGGGAATGTGAACCCTTCTAGGGACCAGACCAGGAAACCAGAGGAATGAAATTCAGTCACTCTCCGGAGCCTGATGGGGAGTCTCTCCCACCTCCCCACCCACTTTATAACCCCATTCTGCCTGCTTGATTAGACCCTCTGTTAGGGAAGGTGGATAAGGCTTTGTCTAGGAGATAGCTCAATTGTCTTTGAATAAGGACCCAGTTAAATTATGCTACATCTACCTGTTGCGAGAAATCAGGGAACCGGAGACCAATGAGGTTACAGGAGGATTTATTTCAGGTGTACACCAGCTCAGTGGATTTGCATACAGAAATTCTGAGCAATGGACAAAGAGAACAAGTGTCTTTTATGCATCCAGGGCCCCGAAATCATGAAGCAGGAAGCAGGTTTACAGAAGCGAGAATAAAAGCAGTTAATCAAAACTGCGACAGGCTTACATATGATGCTTGGTATATGGGCCAGGTGTCCCTTATCTTGGACTTGGGCCGGTTTGGACAGTGCTGCATGAGTTTATTTTTTGGCCTTTGTCCTGGCTCCTTGCTGTCTGCAGTTCCGGCCTGCTTAGACATTTCTTGTGCCTTCACTGTGTTACTTAGATACAAAACAGACTATGTGAAGTTATACAGGAGATAGATACCTACAGATTCCTAAGCTTACTCATACTATAGAGGTAAGGGTATAAGGAAAATTTAGTTTCCCTCCTTATGTTGAGGGAATGCTGGAAAAGTCTCCAGAGCACATTCCTCTGAACTCTGGCTTCTGAGGTAATGTTATCAAGGTTTCCCCTGGGCCTGGGCTTTGCCTGTTAACTGCCTTCAGCCTAATACAGAAGACTTGTTTTATTCCCTTTTTGATTTTTAATTTTCTTTTCTTTCTTTAATTTCCCACCTCATACCTAATGGAATTTAATGTGGTAACAAAGAGAAAGTTCCTAATGTACAAATATGGAAAAATCTCCACGTGCATTGTTAAGTGGAAAAAGAAAGGTGTAGAAGAATGCTATGTAAAAAAACAATCTGTGTAAAAAATGAATTAGAATGACTGTGTTAATCAGGTGTGGTGGCTCATGCCTGTAATCTCTGCACTTTGGGAGGCCGAGGTGGGCGGATCATTTGAGGTCAGGAGTTCAACATCAGCCTGGTCAACATGGTGAAACCCCATCTCTACTAAAAATACAAAAATTAGCTGGGTGTGGTGTAATCCTATGCCTTATGCCTGTAATCCTAGCTACTTGGGAGGCTGAGACAGGAGACTCACTTGAACCCAGGAGGCGGAGTTTGCAGTGAGCCAAGATCATGCCACTGCACTGCAGTCTGGACAACAGAACGTGACTCTGTCATTAAAAAAAAAAAAAAAAGAATATCTGTATTTGCAAGTGAAAATTCTGTGGCAAGGTATGAAAAGAAATTAATAAGGCGGTCACCTGCCAGAAAAGGACAGGATTAGGCATGAGACCTTTCTCTGTAAACCTCTGCACATTGTTTTAGATGTGTGAATGTATATCTTATTCAAATGTATATAGGTATGTGTGTATATACACACAAATATACCAAATATGAAATGAAAATACTAAGGCACAGAATAACTTATCTGACTTGATAATATTTATGTAAATTTTGATAATACTAGAATGTATATAATGGCACATTTAAGTTAAGGATACTATATATGGCGAGGGACAGCGTACGCCTTAGATTATTTACTGTCTGTTTTTGAAGAATTTAACGCAAACATGGATATCAGACCAAATCATACAATTTATATCAACAATATGAATGACAAAATTAAAAAGGAAGAATTGAAGAGATCCCTCTATGCCCTGTTTTCTCAGTTTGGTCATGTGGTGGACACTGTGGCTTTAAAGACAATGAAGATGAGGGGGGCAGGCCTTTGTCATATTTAAGGAACTGGGCTCACCCACGAATGCTTTGAGACAGTTACAAGGATTTCCATTTTATGGTAAACCAATGTGAATACAGTATGCAAAAAGAGATTCGGATATAATATCTAAAATGCGTGGCACTTTTGCTGACAAAGAAAAGAAAAAAGAAAAGAAAAAAGCCAAACCTGTGGAACAGACTGCAACGACCACAAACAAAACGCCTGGCCAGGGAACTCCAAATTCAGCCAATAGCCAAGGAAATTCAATACCAAATCCTCAGGTCCCTGATTACCCTCCAAACTATATTTTATTCCTTAATAACTTACCAGAAGAGACTAAGGAGATGATGTTATCCATGCTGTTTAATCAGTTCCCTGGCTTCAAGGAAGTACGTCTAGTACCAGGGAGGCATGACATTGCTTTTGTTGAATTTGAAAATGATGGGCAGGCTGGAGCTGCCAGGGATGCTTTACAGGGATTTAAGATCACACCATCCCATGCTATGAAGATCACCTATGCCAAGAAATAACATTTGGGATAGTCGTCTTTAAAGGACTTGGTATTATGTGTTTGTTTTGATAACATTTAGTTGGGTCATTTTAATAGTTAGAGATTAGGGGGAGTGAAAGTGAAATCTTTGTGAAGGACTTAAACCAGTGTTTCTTTAGCTTTGGTGAACTATGAAATATGAAGGCCTTAATTTTCTACAATAAACTTTTATTTGTATTCTGTGTAAAAAAAAATGGATACTATACATGTGCTTGCAAAAGTATGAACATGAGGCCGCTGAGAGTTCTGGTCCCTGGGTATAAGTCCAATAAATTCAATGTATTTATAGCACATATATCCCATTCCTGTGCACAAATGGTAGCATACTGTTCTGTACTTTGCTTTTTCTGCATAGTTTCATCATACAGTTATTCTTTTGACAACCCAAAAACCTCATGAACCCAAGTTATCCACAGTTGCACATTTGAGTATCACGGAACATCTGATAGCATAACTAAAGTTATTTCTTTATACCTTGTAGGGTCTAAACTTAAAACTCTTTCATTAGCCAATGTAAACAAAGTTAGCAAGCTGGGTGTGGTGGCTTATACGTGTAATCCCAGTGTTTTGGGAGGCCAAGGTGGACGGATCACTTGAGCCCAGGAGTTTGAGACCACCTGGACAATACAGGGAGACCTCATCTGCACACAAAAATACAAAAATTAGCCAGGCGTGGTGGTGCAAGCCTGTCGTTTTAGCCATTTGGGAGGCTGAGCTGGGATGGTTGCTTGAAATCTGGAGGTTGAGGCAGCCATGAGCCATGATGGCATCACTGCACCCCAGCCTGGGCGTCAGAGCAAGACCCTGTCAGAGAAAGAAAGAGAAAAAGACAGAGTGCGGTGGGGTAGGAAAGGGAGGGAGGGAGGGAGGGAGAGAGAAAAAAAGCAAAAGAACAAAGTTAGGAAAGAACTTCATGTTTTCAAGAGAAAGAAACTTTGTTCTTTTTTCAAAAAAAAGAGGCAGAGCCTGTGCTTTCAGTCTGGCCTCAGTACCTGGTCCTGCCACAGGTGTGTCTGAGGTGACAAGGCCGGTGTCTACCTATGAAGCTCTTGCCTCCCCAGGGCTCCATCATGGATGAGTCCTGTACCATAATCAGCAGCCCTCTGCCCTCCCTCCATTGCACCTGCCTGTGACTTTTCTCTTCTTTTCAATGCCCTCCCTTCCTTCCAACCTCTGCCTGTGACTTTGAATGTGTTGTGGGTATCTTTGCAGAAGAATTGCCTGGCTGACTTTTGCCCAAATTCCTGACTCACAACATCTTGGAATATAATAAAATAGTTACTGTTTCAAGCAATTATGTTTATTTGATTTTTTAAACTTTGTGTTTTGAAATAATTTTAGACTTGTAGAAAAACTGCAAAAAATAGTCAAAAGATTTCCTGTATGTTTTTATTCAACTTCCCCAAATGCTGGCATATTACATAATAAAGCTCAGTTATTTAAAAAATGAGGAAATTAATATTGAGGCAGTACAAGTAATTAATCTACAAGATTTATGCCCTTTATACCAGTTTCCCCACCAACGTCCTTTCTCTGGCCCAGGATTCAGTCTATGATTCCAGGTTGCATTTAGTTGTCATGTCCTCTTAGTTTCCTCCAATCTGGGATAGTTCCTCAGGGTCTCTCTTTGTCTTTTTTTTTTTTTTTTTTTTTTTTTTTTTTGTATTTTTAGTAGAGATGGGGTTTCACCATATTGGCCAGGACGGTCTTAACCTCCTGACCTTGTGATCTGCCCCTCTCGGCCTCCAAAGTACTGTGATTAGATACTGTACGTGGCCTGTCTTTGTATTTTATGACCTTGACACTTTTGGAGAATTATTGGTCAGTTATTTTGCAGAATGTCCCTCAATTTGCGTTTATCTGTATTTTCTTGTAATTAGCTTGAGATTATGCATTTTTGGCCAAAAAATTACAGAAGATAGGTGCTTTTGTCAGTGCATCATATCAAGGGGTACGTGATGAGGGTTGCTACATCTTATTGCTAGTGATCATTTGGTTAAGGAGATTTCCTTACTGTATAATTATTAGTTTCCCCCATTTTGGGGGGAAAAATACAACTCTGCTTTCCTCATGGAACCCTAGGCATTAAAAGCAGATAGATCCCTTTCAAA